TTGTGCCGTTATCAAATGTTATGCCTGATATATTGCTTGCCTGTTTTGTTGCAATATACAATAGCTTGATATGAATTGAGAAAAGAGATAACAAAAAAAATCGCATAAACACACGTGTATCATCTTCGGCTTTACTTCGTGAAGCAGCCTGCCAACAATTTGCTCGTTTCCTTCTACCGCCCGGAGTGAGTTGTGTCGCACGGGCTGCTTGTCATGAAAAAGAAAGAAGAAGATTATATCATTATTGCTTTGCACTTCTGACACTGACATAGCGTTATTATTCGGTTCGTTGATCGCTTGTCATTTTGTCATTTCGAGATATTTTTGATTCCTTGGTCCTATCATAAATTTAGTCGTTAGAATGTTCTCAATATACTACCAAGGATGCATTTGGTTGAATATATTGAAATCCTAACTGTGTATGTTAACTTTTCCAAAGTCTTTCTTTGAAATCATCGAAGTCCACGATTGACAATCTTATTGTGTTCTACACAGAGCATTTATCATTAGTTTCTAAAGATGCCCATACTTATAGGCTTTGCAGCAATGTGAACTCACTTATTGTTGGATTTAGTTAATGATGCAAACGAAAATAGTTTTTATGTAGCTTCCATTGGAAACGCAAATGATTTTCATCCATAAACAAAATTAATATAATTCATCTGAATTTCACATAACATTTATGCGATCACGTTAATTTTATATGATTTTTCAGATGAATTTCATCGGCCTCATAATATTCATGTGATTTTGTGGTGGGATTTCTAGCTATGTGATCACATGAAAGCTATGTGAAATTCACATGGTTTTCATCCATTAGATATGTGATAAATTTTTTGAGTGTATGCAAACTATCCACTTTCAAAACTTCGCGGAGAACAAACTCAAGCACGCTCATGTAAACACAACCACAAGAGTAAAGACGTCAAACGCAACGTGGCCATCAAAGCAACACGGAAAGTAATAGTTCTTAAGGCCGGCGCACAATAGATACGTTTTCGGGTTTTTTTTTACAGATAATGCATGGGCTAACTGTCAAAAAACCTGAAAACGTATCTTTTGTGCGCCGGCGTATGATATGCGTAGAATTTCCTACTTCATAGCCAATTTCTCGGCATAACAGTCCCACTGAATTGTTATCGTATAAAAATCAGCTTGACTAATTTCATTGAAGGTAATTTCTGTAGTTTTCACTAAAACAAATTGACTCAGTTGAAATATGAACAATTCTCTAACTTATTTTAACTAATATTTCTTCCAATGAGCAGAAATAATTTCGAAACATTATTCACGATTTTCTCAGATGTTACTTTTAGAACATGGGACAGATTTTATACCATAACTTTTTTGTTCGAATTTGCTACTTTTTCCAATGTTCTACAAAATTGTAAGGGCTCTGAAAATACTCATTTTTGCTTGAGGTAGCGATTTGCTTACCTTTTCGTTCAAAGGATTTATAACTTTTAAAAAATTATTTTAATGGGGTGTATCTTGCAAGTTAACAGGTATTAGCAGAAAAACTCAACGTAATTTCGGTCAGCAACTCATAGCCTATTGTTCCATATACAGTTCAAGGGGATGTCTAATAAATTTTCTAATGAAGTACCTCAATGTTTTGTTACGTTTTGCTGTTTTCATGACCATATTTCCAAGTATTCCCTTTTCTACAGCTCACTAATCATAAAATCCCTGATTGTGACGCTCTGAAAGCAAAATTGACAGCTCAAACACCTCTTCTTGTAACTTTCAAGTACAAAATATCATTATAACATCTAAGGTACACCGGGGCAAGTTGAAACGCGCGGGGAAGTGGAAACGGTAAGTGTATCTCTTAGCGGAAGTGAATATTCACTGTAATTATTTTTGAGAGGCATTGTGTACTACCGCAAACTACTAGATTAGAAATAATCTCAGTGATTATTCACACTTCCGCTAAGAGATAACCGCTTGTCCCGTTGTACCTTAATGATTTCATAATTCCGAACAACATTTTTTTATTGCTAGTGAGTGGAAGCAGATCTGGTTGTGGCGTTAGGGGCGATCTATTTATTATGTCACGCTAAATTGAGGGAAAATTAACCCCCCTTCCCTAATGCATAGCTTTTCACAAAATCATACCCCCCCTCGCCCCCCAGAGCGTGACATAATATGTGCATCACCCCTTACCATACAACGTACACACTTAGATGTTTTTGCCGAGATGGGCATCACCGAGCAGCTCGGCAATCTATTTTGCTGGATGCCGAGATTCAGCAAAATTTATGTGTGTTAGCTGAGATCTCGGCAAAATTCCCGTTTGTTAGCTGAATCTCGGCAAGTTTTTCAATGAGATCCTGCAAAATAAAATGTCGAGCTGCTCGGTGGTTCCTATCTCGGAAAAAAAAGCTAAGTGTGTATGGTTGTACTGTACCAGATTTCAGTGTGTATTGTCCCCATTAAGGACTAACACACACAAATTATTTCACAAATTTATGTGAGATTTTACAGAAATTTCAACAGCTGAACGTTCGGTAAACAATTCGGTGATTTTCCAAAGTTTTTCTAGAAATTTTCTGAGAATATCAGTGGAAAATAATAGGAAAACTGTGAAAAATCACCGAACGTTCAGCTGTTGGGATTTCGGTAAAATAGGGTTGATGGTCCCTGGTATTGGGCCCATAGATTAATCACAAAGGAAAGCAATTTTTGCCAATTTTTCACTAGAAACCAAACATATCCATTTGTATTGTCCAGATGACGCATTGATCTAAGAAAAAAAGAAGAATTGAAATTTTTTATCGATGACCCCAATCTTTGGATGCATAGGCCAAAGATTAGAGCCATAGTACCCTACTAACTACTATTTACTTACTCTTCGTTACATAAATCAATCTCCGTTCTAATCAGCTTTAAAAAAAATGCGACTCTCCCCGACGGGGAATTGAACCCCGGTCTCCCGCGTGACAGGCGGGGATACTGACCACTATACTATCGAGGACTTGCGGGGAAGTTTATTTTAATTTCCAATTTGAATATTTTATTCATTTTACTCAATCATCAACTTAAATAACGAGCTACATACAATATTGGCGTAGACGAATGACGAGTGTTCTTTTTTCGGTTTTACGTGAGAAACCATGCCGGGAATCTATGGTGTATTCACTAGTTCAGACATGAGCGGGACGAAACGAGATTTGCGTTGGTATGAGAGAGATAATCATGTACTCTCTTGTCTGAATTCAGCTTTACTCCAACTCCAACATTATTAAATAAATTTTCTCAATTACGTGTGTGTGGAAAAAGCAAAAAGTGTTCTCTCCTTCACTTTCTCACGTTAAACCGCTCTCAACCACTCTGGTCAACGCCAAATCACTTCCAAATTCTACGTCACACACATACATTTGCGTGAATCAGTTCCTGCATCTCGTTTTGACATAACGATAAAATACTGCTTTCTCTTTCAACGCTGTTCTTACAGTTTGTCTGTTATGCCTATCAATCGCTAGTAAATCGTGTCGGTTGAGAATGACTTTGGTTGCGATGTGTTGCTCTAGTTATCGCTTCTCGGCCTAAAGGCTAAGATCAAAGTGTAGTATCTGTTCTTATCAGCTTAACATCTGATAGATCTCCCATAGGGAGACAACAAATGTTAAACTGATTTTTGTAAAAGGGCGGAACGGTTAGGGGCTTGCTCCACTTCCGCCACGGGTTGGCCCGGTATTGCAGTACCGCCGGGATCGGCCCACGTTAACAAACCATAAGCGAGTTCGCATTCTAACCTTGAATAGGAATGAAATCATCTTTCAGTATTGGAAGCTTTCTTTTCGACAGAACTGCAAGGTAAATGAATTTGATTTTATCTTGTCCGTAGTTCGCCTACTGAAAAGAGTGTGACATGTCTACGGATAGGGTAGGCCGCTGCTTCGTCGTAATCGCCCATTTCCGTTCTATCGAGCAAGAAACATCAATTATTACACCGTGCACAATTCAATAATATATTTGTTTCGATGCGTTAGCTCATAAGCACAAAACAAAGCGCGTTGTATGAACATTTACACCCATTGTTCTCAAAACAAAAGAACCCTAATAAAAAATTATCATAAATGAACGATAACCAAAATGATTGAACTATTTCACAAATGGTTTGGATGATACCCTGAACACGTCGTTAAGCAAATTAACTATAATTTTTTAATTAGGGAAGTCCTCCTAGCGAATCCATTTTATATGCCTTCATTCGTAGAACGAAGAAAAACCAATGGCGTTTCAATACGTTTGGAATACGGAATTGAAACTTGTAGAACGAATTTGGAATCAAGAAGCAGTGTTAGATTTCTAACAATATCAACAAGGTAAATAAATTTGGAAGTAGAAGTCATTCCAAAGTATAGTAGAATCAATCCATTGTTTGGTTCATATCCGCTCGATAAAGAGAGGTTAACTGCGGGTTGTGCTTAGTAGGACGGAAATTAGATCAAAAACCCTATTTAGAGTAAGTATTCTGTATCTACACGTATTCAGATTTTTTGGGATTTTTTTTTAAAGTGCAGAAGAAATTTTGCAGATTTTCAAAATTTTTAACTCTGAATGACGGTTTTTAGAAAAAGGAATAATTAATGCAGTGGAATCAAATTCTCCTATCTACGGATCGTACTCCTTTAAAAGTTAATATAACTTTGCTGCTGAAGTGAAGGCGGGCTTCTCAATACCAGAAACATCAATTTTCAGCATCAGCAGGATTTTTAACATCTTCGTTAACTCTTCTCCATAGTAGGACTCATTTTTGACCAAACATGAAGCATCCTTAATGGGAAAAAAGACGCTCATAAGCTAACACCTTTGACCGGCAGAAGCGAGTTGAATTTTCCAGGAAAAACTTCTCGAATATGAGGTTTCACTCAGTCTATTAGTATACCCCCTCATATTCCAGAAGTTTTTCCTGGTTTTCCACGGAAAATCCTCTTTTGAGTAATTTTGTGATTGTTTCCTTCATCTAACCTATATCCCACCCATTTCCCCAGCTTCCACAGGTTGTTGCAAGCTTTTCCCACGCTTTCGGACCTTCCCTTTTTGCTGGAACAGCTGGTTCATCAACAAACGTCCCTCACCCGGCAGCAAGTTCGACTCGACCTGCTCGGCGAGTTCTCAAAGCATCTGAAAACCGATCAGTTCCAAGACCAGACTTTCTACGAGCAACGTATCCATGATGGCAACAACGCACTGGAACAGGGCAAACGAGAGTGGCATTCCGACCGGAAGACGTTGGACAAAACGCTTGTACAGTTGAAGGACGATGTGCGAATCCTGGAGGAGCTTCTGGTCAATGCAGAAACACTTCGTACGTTCAGCCTTCCGCTGAAACTCCACCAGTCACTTGTGGTCCATCTGAGCGAATTCAAAGATGAATTGGAACACACGTTGCAACACCTCAGCCAAGAGCATGCCGGGCAACAAAGTGCCTTTGACGTCATGGACCAACTCGACCTCATCCATCGGGAAACGATCGAAGCAGAACGGGTAATGATGTTGCACAGTTTCCTACTCCGTGAAATGTCTACATTCTACCAAGAACTTCGGCGTCAATATCCAGCAAAAGCCAGCAAACTTCAAAAGAAAACTAAAGCAGATCTTCAGTATGTGTACGAGGCACGACGGAAGCTCAACTGCACGCAACCAGCGTACAACCTGGCACAAATTGAGCGGTTCAAGTTCAAGCTTGAAATGTGTCGCAACCATCTCCAGATGCTAACGGCCTATCGGACGCCACTTGTGTGCAACATGACCCTGCCCTGTATCAACAAACTGGCCGCGATCAAGCTCCGTCTGATTACGCAAATGATGGCCAATATACCCTCATACCTGAACAAATCCGGTAGTCTCCGGTTGAACTTTCAATACGATCGGACCAAATGTTCGGATGAAGACTCCAAAAAGGTAAGTACCTGGGATCATTTTTCTTTTAATTTGAGCTTTATTGGTTTACTTTCAAACGGAAAATGACAAGAATGTGTTGTTCTCTTTCTGTTAAATGCTACTTTACTTTTAAACCTACAACGCCTGACTTGGACTAAAACGTCCCGGCACCTACAGTTCATCCTTCTCATCTAAATCTACATCGGACAAGTCGATGTCTTCCTCCTCCGGTAGCTGTCCGTCCTTACCATCCCACGGTTCAACGGTGTGAATTTTCGGCAGTGCAGCACCCTTGATCGGGGCCGTGTGTCCTCTACCGTAGGACAAGTCGCGCAGGAACTCGTTGATTCCATCCTCGGAGAAGGCTCCACGCAGCAGAGAGTATTTCATCTTCTTGACATTCACAACGGCCATCGCCGGATAACCGAAGCCTCCAATGTCCAAGGTGGATTCGATTTCGGGTTGAGCTCCTCCTTCGGACCACAGCCAGCCCCATTGCTTCTTCTTGTACTTGTCACCCATTTTGGCTAGGATTGTAAGATAGTTGTTCCGGCAGGCTGCGTCACAGTCCAGAATATGTGGCAGCACCGATACGACACACAGGGGTTTGTTTTCGCAGGTCTTCTTGGAAATTTCCTCCGAAGTCAGTTGAACAATCTCCGGGGCCGGAATGTTTTCGCTGTGCTTCTCCAGGGCCCAGTTGACGATATCGGAAGCAGTTCGACCACCGTCGTAATCCTGAGCCGATTCACGATCCTTTACGCCACCACCGAAAAACTTGATCGACGGGTAACCCTGGATTCCGTACTGTTGAGCCTTGATTGTGTGTACCGTTGCATCCAGTGCTCCGAGTTTGACCTTACCCTTCAGTTCGGTGGCTGCCTTGGCCCAGTGCGGAGCGAGATTCTTACAGTGTCCGCACCATGGAGCGAAGAATTCAACCAACCATATATCGTCACTGTTCAACACCAGTTTGTCAAAGTTGGAATCCGTCAGCTCAACTACATCCTTCGAATCGGAACTACCGCTTTCGGAAGATCCACTGGATCCACCTCCCAAAACATTCTTGATCTGCTTCTTTGCCTCAGCAAGTGCCGATTCAGCAATGTCCTTCGCCGTGCGCTGTCCATTGTAGTCCACCGGCGATCGTTTGTTCGCACCGAAGATCTTAATCATGGGATATCCTCGAACTCCATGTTGGCCACACAAGCTTTGCTCCTCCTCGCAGTTTATTCCTCCAACCTTGATGATTCCCTTCAAAGCGGTAGCGGCTTTCTTATATTCCGGCACCAGATTTCGACAATGGCCACAGAATGGAGCGTAGAATTCGACCACCCAAATCTCGTCACTCTTCAATACCATCCGATCGAAATTGCTAGTGGTTAGCTCGACGACGTCGTCCGATGATGAGTACAATGCCCAGCCGGAACTGGCCAAGCTGACAACCAAAGCCACGACCATCCACATCGATGACGTGCCCATTTTTCCTCTAGTGCTAATCAGTCTTCTTCTTCGTGAAGCTGGGAAGTATTTGTTGCCGCTCCGGCTTGCCGGATATCACTGTGAAATGTCGCGGTTATACTAAGATATTTCACCAAAATTTTGGATTTTATTACCTTCTGATGTGGCGCACTGTCCTTTATCAAATTCCCGGTTGTATTGAGATTGTTAACTTGGGAAAAAATTATGTTCTCCTGTCAGAGTTTGCAACCAGTGACGATTCCACCTAACAGCACTGATCTGGCCAAACGGGATTGGTTCTTTCCGAATGACTGACGGCGTATAGGATGAACCTTTGGCATCAACACACATGCAGTTTTTTGTAAAGCAGGTTGGTGTTTTCGCGACTTTTTGGCGTTTCGATTCGTTTGTGTGGGTGGCATTTTGGCCCTAGACTTCACTGTGTGCGTGTTCGGTGTTGTTCATTCCACAAAACTGTGTTCATTTGAGTTTCCACTTTTGTTCTACCAGAGGCGTTTTTTTTTTTCACTTTCGATGGGTTCGGGTGCGTTTGGTATAAGGATGTTTGATATGGGCATAAGAGTCGAGTTTTGAACGCCTTTGGATACGGTTGTATCTAAATTTGCTCTCTGTTTTGTGCGTGCATTCTCTTTCATAGTTTTCGGCTGCATTTGCCGGATTAGCGCTGGCACTCTGCCTCCCGGACGGTTATACGTGTGTGAGTGGTGGTTTTCTCGCTTTCCGAGAAGTTTTAGAATCAAGAAAGAAAACATGATTCATCATGTTTGCAAAATTGAAAGCATCAGAAGATTAGGCGCTGCGTGGTTTTATTGTTTTTCCCGGACCAAAAATTTGTGGCATCGCGAGTGAAAATTTTAATTTCTTTTTATTTACGCGGTGATGAGCACGGCGCTGATCTATTGTTAGGGTTTTGCGATGTGCATTGCTTTTGTGCACGGAGTGTCTTGAAAAAGAAAAGTGAAGAAAAGTGATATTTGGTTGTTGTGTGGTTGGAGTGGAGAGAAAAATATGCGTGGAAGCATCGGGAATGCGCTCCCGGGTGAAGTGATTTGATGAGCACGTTCCAGTTGAAGATTGTTGACAAGTGTATTTGTGGTGATGCAAATTATGGTTTAGATGACGCATGGCTTCAAACATTTTGTGTATCCAAATAAAACATATTACATACTAAATACGCACAGGGCATCGTCTGCTGACCATTGCCGCGGGTATATCGTGGGAGTCCCAGGTACCCGGTTCAAGCTTTAGTTGGCGGCGGTGGCTCTTCTTGACCTTCTATCCCCTGAGTAGTTAGTGTGAATAAGGGCGTCTATGTGATGTTTTGCTGTACCTGTTGTGGACATCTAGTGCACCCTGTTCCCTTAACTTGTTGAGGACACCCTGTCTTGCCTCAAAAGTTACCCTTTTAGAAGTACTAGTCTTCACAACATAAAGGGCACCATTACGGAGCATGAGATTTGATCAAATTATTCGCAGTTCTACTTGTCCAACGCCCCCGGCTGGGTGAGGGATAGAGGATGACACACACACACACACACAGGATGTTTGATATGGGCATAAAGATTATCGGCACAGTTCATTGGTGTCTGGCCTTATGCCGAATTATAATACATTCAATCTGCCCTATTGTAATTGTATTGTATTGGTCAAATGATCAAACTGTCAAAACAAAAGGTTTACAATTCAAATACAAATTCTGTTATCTGGAAAGTTTGAATGGAGTATAATATTGTTCCATGCTATGGAACTAACATCCAAAATGTTGATTATGTTTACATTGCTGTGTTGTTTTGGAACGGTTTATAATGGAATAAGTTTATCTTGTGCTTATTTTGAGCTCACTGTGCTTTTTCTGATCACTTACTCTAAAACAATCGAGTGCAGGAGACTACACGGCGAATGAGAACGACCCAAATTTGAGTTTAGTCAACTCATAAAACACATAAAGTGCAGGAACTCAGCGATGAGTAAATTTGCCTCATGTTTTCCAAGGTTTTTCCAGGGAAAAAATCCCGAATTTGAAAAAAAAAAGTAAAGATTGGATTCACTCAGTCTATTGGTAATACTCCGAGACTGAATAAAATTTTCGTCTTTTCTCATTTTCCGGCAGATTTTTTAGGTTTTCACAGTAAATTTGTCTCATTGTAATTTACTCATCGCTGAGTTCCTGTACTTTTGGCCATTATAAGTGAACTAAACTCAAATTTCGGTCGTTCTCATTCGCCGTGTATAGTAGCGCACAGCACAATATTTTTTGGGGCTGTGGGTACTTCCAGACGATTTCTGTTTTGAAATTTGTTGTAATGAGATCATTTTTTTTTTCTTTTTACGGTAACTAACAACCACCCTGTTTCCGTACTTGCTCTTTTGCTTTTGCTGTAAGTTTCTGTAAGAAAATAATATGGTGCAGAAAGTAACGGCAACTTACTTTTGCTTTTTGCTGTACAGAATCTTACAGAAAAGCAAATACCAAAGCACACCTAATGTCTTGTTTACCATAGATTCTAGTGTGTACAGAACAAAAAAATCTATTGTATTTTTACTATTTTTGACAAACAAAGATGGTTGCTTCACTAGATTTTATTGCATTGTGACAATAGTTTCGTTTTTATTCGGGTTGTCTGAAACAGGTCAATCTAAAATTAATATGCAGTGCGTTTCGACTCTCCAAGACAGAAATGCTTCATCAAACGTTCATCAAGAGCTTTTGGGCATCCTGTTAGATGTCTGCTAATTCTTACCTGTTTTTTTAAATTTTCTCCTGAGTAGAAATTATGCTCCCTTTGAGTGAGATTGAACGGCCGTGCACATCCTCCGTCTTCCTTTGTAAGGTTTCACCGGTGTCAAAGCGACATCTGTTGGATTTTCTCTATTTCACTTGGTTCATTCAAGTTTGACAATCTTCTTAATCCAAGCTCTTCGAAGTTCATTTCTATTAATATTACCACTACATTATCGACAGTATTGATCAGAATGGTGGCTCTGTTTTATCGACAGAAGTCATGCATTTGCAGCGGCACTGTATACAACGTGTGTTCTGATAACGGAGATAACTGATCTGAGACTTTTGTTTTTTATGTTACAGAGTGCTTTCAATATTGAGCACATAATCGGACTCACGGTGGAATTCGTCGACGAAGAACAGAACCTGATCCGTTACCTGAACGGCGATTCGGCAACGTTGGCCCACTTGATATTTTTTGCATGTTTTCTGTCCGTCGAAGGATGCAAACTTCTGCTACTACAGGACTGTTTCTCGGTAAATTTGTTGAAATGAAATCACTCATAATAAAGGGCATGTTCGATTTGAATTAAATCATTTCAGGGTCTTTCCGAAGAGGAACATCAGGATGCGTATACGCTGCTACTGGCAATTTCACAGAACATGCAAATTTTTCTTACTGTCGGACTAGATGAGTGAGAATAATTATTCATGATTTTATTTATATTATAACAGTAAATAAACCCTTAGTGCTAAGCAGGATTGTTATGTACTACCTTAAATATCGCGTTTATTTTTATACAATGATGGCTTATCAAACACCTGTCTCATTCCTCCAGCTCGCTCATTGTAGAACTTAGTGTTATTTGCCGAATCAGCAAACCAAGGTGATTCGGCCTTAGTAGTATCCTGATCCACCAAATGGGTGTACTTGGTTCTACCGCAACGACCAAAGTTCTTGACTTGCATGACTTTTGGCAGGATGGTCTTATCAAAGTGATCTTCCAGTGTCGGTGCAGAGAAGTCCTGCTTGTATACTTGGTCTTCCTCGTCCAGATAGAATGCACCACGATGGTAGTACTTTTGCAAGAACTTGTACTTGCCCTTGACCGTTTTGTTTGTAACAAGTTTTGGATTGAGGCGTTGATCCTGGCGACGTTCCTCTTCCGTCATATTTCGTATGCGTTCGATTTCCAACTTCTCCTTGTCTAATCCTTCCTTTTCCTCGCGGTCTCGTTTGATACGTTTTAGTTCCCGCAGCTTCCATGCCTCGTATTCCACCTCATCATTCTCATCATCTGTATTGACATCGTTCAGATTCGGTTCGTTATCTACCTTGGCTTTTTCCATATCCTTTTTGATGCTGTCTTCTACGAGCTTCAACGTTTGACGACGACGTTCCTTGGCAGCTTTCTTAGATTCGTATTCAAGTTGTTTCTGTTTGTTAGCCTCACGCTCTTTTTCGATTACTGTAGTACGATCCTTCTTACGAACAAATAATGGTTTCAATCTGAAAGGAGATCCACATGTATATTAAATTATGATGACTAATAACGCTATAAATTCACAAACCTTGGTTCATTTTCCTCTTCACTTTCTGTTTCCTCATATTCCGAACTTTCCGATTCGGAAGTATCCGATTGGCCTTCGTCCTCTTTTTGCAACACTTCCTCTTCCTTCTTCTGCTGCATCATTTTCTGTCTCAGCATGTTTCGTCTCCGTTCGATCTCGGAATCACTAAGCTCCGTATCAGATTCTGACTCCGATCCGATCGAAATGCGTCGTGTTCTCGCCAATCCTTCGCCAGCCTCCTCTTCGTCATCATCTGCTTCATCGTCTTCAGACTGCTCCGGTCTGCGTCGATGCCGCAAATGCTGTCCGGGCTCTTCCTCTTCCATCTCGATGGCTTCCTCTTCGTCTTCCGATTGCACCAGTTCTGGTTCATGTATAAATCGATGCCGCTCACGCCGTTCACGCTCGATTTCTTCAGCTTCGGCAGCGCGAATTGCCTGTAGACGCCGAATACGTGGATCGTCCACATCACCCGGAAGGGCATCAGCTTCTTCGTCTGATTCTTCGCGACGACGAGACTCCCGATAGGATTCCTCGGCCGTTCTTCGGTTGTCAATGAAGTCATCTTCATCAGATTCCTCTTCACTGCTAGAATGCTGGGCATACTCAGGACGTTTTCCAGATACGTATCGATGGACTTTCACCTTTTGCATGGACAGTTCACCTGTGTACGAAAACGTTCAAGACTTAGTGCGACTGCGACAAGAAATATTTACCATTTTTGAGATCTTACCTTTTGGATTACGCACTGGAATGGCACCAGCCGTGCTCTGAATACCGTAAAGTGATGGCTGGCCATTCATTTTGGTTGTTTATTGTGGGTAATATTCAGAGAATTAATATTTTTGTACGAGTTCACTTTTTTATGCTGCCAGTGCAGTTCTGATGGAAGAAAATATAAACAAAGAAAATGGACGATTTTTGCCTTGACAGCACATAACGCATTCAGCCACGTGAACACGGTACACGAATAAATTGAATAACTCATTATTTAGAAATTGAAAGGCATTGACACGGAAAAACTCTTCTCGGTAAAGTTTAGTAATACCCCGTTCACATTACAGCCTAATATCACGTAATATAGGGTGTCTGGCAATGAGCACTCATACATAGGATTTCCAGTGAAAACTAGATGTATGAGTGCTTATTTCAAGACAGCGTATATCACGTGATATACGCTGTAATGTGAACGGGGTATAAAGCTTACTTTTTGAGTGCCAAACTTCAGGCATAGCATTTGTAAACATACTTTCTTTGGCCCGTTACATGTGAAATTTCACATGGAAATTCGTCAATAAAAATGTGTGGATTTTTATTAGTATAGGAAAACGTCAGTTGACGTTTCGAGAAAGAGCGTATCTGTCAGATTTTCACTTCACCGGAGGTGTAAACTGATCGATTTCGTTTTACATGAACTGTAAACTGCGAAAAAAGGAAACTGTAAAATGTTCCACAAACATTTTTTCACAACCTTTTTCGCTAGCGAAATTTCATGTTTTTTTCGCGTGCTTCAATTTTCGTTTCGCTTCGATCTGTATACTAGGCTTTAGCTGCTGCTCTTTTCGCGAGCGCTGCATGCGCGAAAAAAAGTAAACGTAAGTGAAAAAGATGCGATCCACACACAGAAAAAAAAGTTGTTGAATATTACATCCAAACTGCTGCAACCAGGTCAATCCATCGGTTGTGTAATATAACATTGTACGATGCACATCGATTTTGCAAACAAAATTACATCCACTGATGTAATATTGTATCTGCTTTTTGCTATTACATCATTATTTCATACATCAGCTTGAATTACATTGATCGATATTACATTTTTTTTTTGCTGTGCAACGTTAGATTTCGCTGGCTGTTTACAGTTCAAAGCGAAGTGAAAAATTTGCCGATTGCGTTTTTCACGCTGGTGAAAAATTTAGTATTTTGTATGAGATTTTCGTTTCGCTTCGATCTCTACACAGAGAAAAAAAATTACCCTAAATTTAAGTTCTTTTTACTTAATTTTAGGTAATTTTGAGTTTTGCATCCCACTCTAACTTTTTGTTGCTGTCAAAAATGGAACGAGAGTTTCGACTTTCTCATGACTATCGTTCAATAAGCTACTAGTGAGTATATGAGATTTTTTTTTTTAATTCTTTATTAAAGAGATTTTTAGCCTTAGGCTAGTTCATCTCTAAAGTATGATTCTGTGACACTACCCCGAATGTCACTACCCCGAACGCCATAACCCCGAACGCCGTTACCCCGAATGCCACTACCCCGAATTTCCTACTACCCCGAATGGCCATTACCCCGAATACCCTACTACCCCGAATGGCCATAACCCCGAAATAAAGACAAATGGAAGAACAGCATGTGATCAAAAGAAGGGTAAATTTTTAAGAAGAAAATTTTCTTTTGTAGTTTAAACTGAATACAAATGATAAAAATAAAAATTTAAAATTGATTTATGTAAATCAGTGATGCAAAAGTTCACTATGATTCGCGAGCTTTTTCCTAGGTGAACATCGTGAAAATTCGCGAACCCTTCCAATGCTGTATTTTGTATTTTTTACAATGACACTCTCTAAATTCTTATAAAATAAATTATTAGATTCTATAACATCCCCCAGAAAAGATGATGAAATTAGTAATTTATCACTTTTTTTGTTGGTCATTTGATATCATATTTCAGTTTTATATTACAGAACAGGCGTCCATAAATAAACAGGTCCGCAAGTATCTTGCACACTGAATAATACATCTTCTGAATACCAATTTTCTCGATAAATTTTACCCATATGATTTAATATACTTTTCATGACAAAACTCTCTGATTAGTTTCACTTTACTATTGATGATACACTACGTTTACTTTTATGGAACTATGTATTTATCAATTCCAAACCATTTTATAGCTCTTTAGAAAATGACAACCTTCAAGTTTTCGAGCACTTCGTTCATCATTTAAAAAGTCAAAGGGTCTATTATGCAATCCAATTCAACCAGTCGGAAACTGTTAAACCTTATCGAAGAATTGTTCGACCTGAGTTGAAGAATTTCTCGTGCTGGATTAAAAAATCGGTGCATGGAACGTTGAACTACCGATTACAAATTTATAACATTATTCCACACGTTATTATCCCAAATGGGCATTACCCCGATTACCTTGCGAAAAACTATTGATTATATATTTTCCTTATACGGGAATATTCCCTTCTTTATCATATATTTAACGAATTAATGATGTTCTCTTTTATATATTCAAAGAAGGGAATATTCCCTTCTTTATCGTATATCCAAAGAATTCATTATTTACAGCTTTTGGAAATGAATTCGGGGTAATGGCCATTCGGGGTAATGGTCATTCGGGGTGGTGTACTATTCGGGGTAACGGCGTTCGGGGTAGTGTACCGTTCGGGGTAACGGCGTTCGGGGTTATGGCGTTCGGGGTAGTGACATTCGGGGTAGTGTCACAGAATCTTAAAGTACACAGCAAAAAAAGTTGTTGAATATTACATCGAAACTGCTGCAACCAGGTCAATCCCTCGGTTGTGTAATATCACATTGTACGATGTACATCGATTTTGCGAACAAAATTACATCCATTGATGTAATATTGTATCTGCTTTTTGCTATTACATCATTATTTCATACATCAGCTTGAATTACGTTGATCGATATTACATTTTTTTTTGCTGTGTATATGAGATATTCTCAAATTTGAGTCAATTGAACTTAATTTTCGGTAGAAAATACATACGAGTATACGCGAAGTTAACGATTTTCAGAGTTGGTTGGAAATGCTAACATGAAGCTTTAGTGTGATGATTTATTAGCTAGAGAATGATCTTTAGAAGAATGTTCCACTATCCACCTACATTCTTCTAAAGATCATTCTCTAGCTAATAAATCATCACACTAAAGCTTCATGTTAGCATTTCCAACCAACTCTAAGTATTTTTGCCGCAGTCAAATGTAAACTACTATAAGCAGTTTACTGAATATTAGCATAGAGGTAACTCTAAGACCACTGGGTCCCGAAGAAAATCATTATTATTTTTGGCTCACTCAGTACCAGAACAACGGTCCCAAGCAGTCCCAAGCTATTTCACTCACCCCTGCATGTTCTGCATGAATCCACACACCCCTGATGTTATCTGTCAAACTTTCATAGCGAATCAAAACAAACATAGTGTAGTAATAGAATTTCAACTAGAATAGGGTACGTTAATCGTTTGCTTGGGACCAATAGGCTACTAAAGTGATGAGCCAATTTAAAATCGTTAGTTTCGTATTGATTGTTGATATTAGCTTAGTGAACGCAACATGGGAGATGAGTGAAAAGAACTTAATTTTAGGTAATTTTTCGGTTCCGTGTATACAGGCCTTAAGTTACCCAAATTTTGGGTAATATTGAAATAGTGTGTTCAGTGGTATCACTCACACAACATAACCATTGCTTCACCTCGGTTAAAGTCATTGGTCATCAACAGCCTGCATGCTGGAACTGTTACTGTTGTTTGTTTATGTTTTCCATGTTTTCAATTTGTCGCAACGCTCCCGCCGCGCAAAACGCAGTTGTTTTTGGCTGTGAAATCAATTTAAAATAAATTCCATTTTAAGTGATTGCTGTTGTTCAAAACGGCCTCAAGATTGAACCTTTCAAGATGGTGTCCACTCGGGGACATAAGTATAAATTTTCGGACGGCGAAAAAGTGCTCTGCTATGAGCCGGATCCCACCAAGGCAAAGGTGTTGTACGATTCGAAGGTAATCAATTGCCAGGTGCTTAAATTCGCGGATTTGCATTTAATTGAGAATCTTAATCGTTTTTATTACCCATCAAGGTGCTGGATGTATCGGAGGGTAAAGATAAACGAGGACGCAAAGTGATTGAGTATTTGATACACTTCCAAGGCTGGAACTCGTCGTGGGACCGGAAGGTAGGCGAGGATTTTATTCTTAAAGACACCGAGGAGAATCGGCAACTGCAGAAGGATTTGGCCGAGAAATCCCAGTTGCATCAGTAAGTTGTTGGGTTTGGTTTTTGATCTGCAGGAATTACCAACTTTCGTTATTCTTTAAGGGGAACATACCTGTATAGAAAGGAACGCAAAAAACAAAGAGACAAGACTTTAACGGCACGAATTGAGAGTCTCACACAGACTGGACCACAGAAACCACCTGCTCAACCTTTGTCTGAAGAAGGAAGTTCTTGCAGTAATGGTTTTGGACGTGAAGAAACTGATTTTTGTATAGATCGTAAGTAGACTCGGAACGTTTGCTACTACGCTGGTGAAGTAATATGTAAATTGTGTTTAATCTTTTGCAGCTGCCCTAGACGGTGAATCGGAATACTACAGTAGCTCAGTTGAAAGTACACACGAGGAGGAGAAGGTCTACGTTCAAGTGGGTGACAAACTCAAGCGTATCTTGGAGTACGACTTTCACATGATATCAGAAGGCAATCTGGTAGAGATTCCAGCCCAGTTTCCGGTGGTAACTATCCTCGAAAACTTTGTCCGTCATTATTCCATTCGACAACTGTTCGGGCAAGAACAGGCAAAACTACGACGACGAAATAGTTCCTTCATGAAAGGCGATCAGAAAACGAAAGACTATGAAACGATTCGTACGAATATCGAACTGTGTAAGGAAGTGGCCGATGGTCTGCGGTTGTATTTCGATTTCACCTTGAAGGATTACTTATTGTACCCTCTAGAAAAGCAGCAAGCTGAGTTGGTTCTGTCGGAGGAATATCTCATAAATTTTACCTATATTGCATCGCCATCACTGTCCCTTGACTTACTAACGGTTCGTCTGGAATCTCCAGCCACTGATTCTGGAACCGATCATGCCGATCCAACACTTTCCGGTAGTTCGCTAGCAGCTCAAGAGGAGAAGAGACGCCGTCGGTTGCGTTCGCATAAAAATGAAGAGAATGAATTCATTCTGGATATGGGATTTATCAAATCGGAAACCCTTTCACCAGGAAACCCGCAAACGTTGGCGTTTTCATTGCTCAAGGGCGCATTTCCATCAAATGTCACCATATCGTATCAGTCAAAGGAAATTATGGATGATGCATTCGGATGGAAGATTCTTCCTTCGGATGCCCCCGCTGAGCCATCGATGATCTATGGAGCTACACATCTAGCACGATTGATCGTCAAATTGCCAGATTTCCTATCCGCTACGACAATGGCCGATGAAAAGTTGAAACTGTTGCTTAAATTTTTGGATTGCTTCTCCGATTACATCGAGGAGCATGAGGAATGGTTCGGAGGACATGTGTATAGTGATAAAAAGACAACGCTGATGGATATGAAGCTAGACGATGGTGTCGGCTTGTCGTCTATGGTCGGTAGCGAGATGGGCTGTATTCAGATTAAGGAGGAAGATTTGGAATTGCAGGACGATGGAATGATGGCCGGTCCGTTGCTGTCGGATGTGAAAGTCGAAGTGACCTCGCTGATTCCGTAATAAATTGCGTGTAGACTGAGCAGATAGGATTTTTTTTTTGGAAAGAAAAGTCCTTGAAATCGTTGGGTGGAAAATATGAGAAAGTATGAGTGTACAAGGATAGTTCAAGTGCAGTGACGAGAGGCGCACGGAAAACACAAACGAAATTAAAATGAAAACGTTTCACCGTGATTTGGAAATACATTGCAACCGGCATCATTCATCTCTATAGAAGCAGGACAAGGATTGCAAGGTAAGGAGATATAATATATATTATATTTCATTAATTTTATAATAATTCGTAAAGTTCACTGAATTTGTCTTCCTGGAAGTTTACTGAACATGGAGTCTCTTGTTTGTACCCTTGAAGTCCTGTAGGTTTTTCTAAAAAGAGTTTCGAACCTATCGTTGTTGTGTTTTCAATAACATCAAACTCGACTTCTCATGTTAATAAATCAGAACTCTTTATTTATCACTTCAAAGAACAAAAACCTTTCTTCTCGCGCCAAGCGCAGTGACAGCTAACGGCGTATAACAATGCACACCAGGGTTGTCACTATGGGGTGGTAGCATCTCCCCTTTAATTCCAGCCGATGATCTAGTCTTTCAAGTGTTTCGGAAGCCGACGCTCTCTGGCTGGTCTGGGAGACTCCGATGTTGATGGCTCAACTGTTAGTGGATTGGAGTTCACTGAACCAGTCTCGAAGAATACGTCTGCACGGGTTCGAAGTCATCCACCACGATGTCCAATTGCGTTGGATGTTGATACCGGCTTGAGTATATTATCGCATTTAGGTCGAAGGTGGTTCACGTGTGACCGAATAAGCTTCCTCCGACCTGACTGATAATCGAACAGAACGTTGAAATTGACTCAAGGACAGTGTCGGAAACCCATTTCCATTTGTTCGTATTCTGGTACAGCTTCGCGTAGACTGTGGAACCCGATGTAAACTTTGGACTCTTCATCGAACTTACTGTTGAACGCTGATGGCCGTACAAGATCCAATGTTGCATTTTCTCCAAGAGCTGTGTACTGACTACAACCACTGACAAACCGACATGAATGCTCAATGATATCATCCAAACCATTGGTGGAGTAGTTCTATGATTTAGGTTATCATTCGTTTATGGTATTTTTTTTATAAGGGTGGCCATTTGACTGAGGGTGATATGGTGCTATACGAATGTGGATGATTCCAAGCTACTGACACATCTTCATGAATTCAGCACTATAGAACTGCGTTCCGTTGTCTGTGACAATGGTCTCCGGAAAGCGAATCTGGCAAAAGTTTCCTGAAGAAATTTGATCGCTTTCGTCCTTTCCATGCCTTGGTGACCACGATGAAGCTGCTTTAGAATGCGTTGCTTGTAACATTCTGGTAGCACTACACGGTCGTTTATCATGATGCATCCATTGACTCGCGTCGAGTATGGAAGGTTTTCAGGTTTCGGTCTGCGATACTACTGCTGTTCGGCCAACATCCGTCAATGTAGTGTATGACTTGTTGCAGTAGGCCGTCCTTCTTTGTTGCTGTCCAGACCTAAGAGAAAGAGAAGACAACTGGCTTCTTTTGTCTGTGATGTGTTCTTCTTCTCTCGCGGAAACGATTGTGCAAAAACTATTTCTTTATGGGCGACGCAGTCGACTGTCGAAATACAAGAAAATAGATTCCCTGTTGTAGAAATTCTCGCGTTTCTATACTTTCGCCCGACCAATCAGGCGCTGGATCGCGATTGACAGAAAATTGGTTCATAAAAGTTCCCCTATTGTCTCCTCTTACTTTTAAGTCCTGACCATCTTGAAGTTCACTGGCAGCGATAAGTATTGTTTGTTTATTGTTTGTTTATTGTTGTTTTACATCAACAGGCTGGAAGAAGCCCCAATGATTTTAACCTTATCAACTATGGTAAAAAAAAATACATTCAAGCATGGTCATAACATAAAAAACATTAAAAAACGTATATCTTATAGTCAATATCTTAACTCCTGTCGGCGAAAAACAGAAGAAAACTTTCGACGAAGCGCATCACGGGAGAGATGAAAGTCGAAAACAGATGCAACTCTGTTGAATGTTCTCTGCAGTCCGCAAATCGCACCGTACGCTCCATAATTTGTGCGACGTAGAGGCAGTCTTAGCATAAGGTTATTACGAAGCGGTCGGGGTTGAACATTCAGGTCAATTTGCCTCAGGATAGCCTCACAATCTGTCCTTCCTTGTAGGATATCGGCCACGGTTAGGGCTCTGTTTGTGTCTCTTCTAGTCCGGAGAAGTTCTAGGTCGATAAGTGACAACGGCTTTCGTAACTTGGTAATCGAAACGGATCGTTCCAAGGCAATCTACGCAACGCAAAACGAAGAAAGTGACGTTGAACAGATTCAATTCTCTCGGCACCGTTGTTGTAGTTTGGGTTCCAAACCGCTGAACAATACTCAAGCGTCGATCGAACAAGCGAACAATAGAGAGATTCTAGACAGTAGATATCAGTGAAGTTTTTAGCTATCCTAAAAATGAACCCTAAAGTTCATGACGCCTTATCAACAACATATGCAATGTGTTGCTTGAATGAAAGCTGCGAATCCAAGATCACACCCAAGTCTTTCACCTGATTCACGCGTTCGATTGTCGAGCCAAGCAGGTCATAGCTAAATATTATCGGTTGTTGTTTTCGTGAGAACGTAATAGCGGAGCATTTGGCTACCACTACCATTCTGTTTAACCTGCACCAACTAGCGAATACATTCAGTTGACGTTGAAGAAAGTGACAGTCAGCAATGGAGCAGATTCGTAGGAAGATTTTGAGGTCATCTGCATATGATAACCGAGGAGCTTCGATGACCAGATGCACGTCGTTGAAGTACAGTATAAAAATTAACGGTCCCATGTGGCTTCCCTGAGGTATACCTGATGTGGCGAAGAAGCTAGCTGATCTGCAATCTCCTATGGCAACTTTTAGTTGCCGACCGGTAAGATATGATCGAAACCAACTCAGAAGATTACCGCATACACCGAGCCTGCCGAGTTTAGCAATCGCAATAACATGGTTCAACTTGTCGAATGCTGCGGATAGGTCTGAATAAATAACGTCCGTTTGAACCCGATCCGACATGCTTTCGGTTATATACGATGTGAGACACAGCAGATTGGTAGTTGTAGAGCGGCCGACAGTAAACCCATGTTGATCAGCACTCAAATACTGCTTGCAATGGGACAGAAACGGTTCCATAATCACTAGCTCGAATAGCTTCGAAACGGCACTTAACGATGTAATTCCTCGATAGTTATCCACAGCTCGTTTCCTTCCCTTTTTGTGGACGGGAAACATGTGCGCAAATTTCCAGCAAGATGGAAATATGCCACCTGAGAGAGACATTCGGAACAGGCGAAGATGGAACTCCATCAGGTCCAGGATTGAAGGATGACTTGAGCAGAGTCGCGGCCTTAGAAATCATTTCTGCATTAACATCAATTGCACCCAGCGTTTGATCGTTTACTGGAACGTTCCTGGCAGCCAGGTTAATATGGTCGTCAGTTAGTGTCTCATTAGTGAATACACTGGAAAACTTTTCGGAAAAGAGGTGGCATATATCCTGAACAGTGGCAGCAACTTCTCCGTTGAATTCCATAGACGATGCGAGGCCGGATTCCCTGCGTTGCTCGTTCACGTAGTTCCAAAAGGATTTCGGGTGTAGCTTAAGTTTGCGCTGGATGCCTCGTTGAAAACTTGGAAAGCATTCACGACTGACTCGCTGGTACATGTGATTCAGCCTCACATAATGTAGTTTCAGAGGAAGCGTGCGATACTTCGTAAATCTTCTCAATGCTGCTCTCTTGATTGACTTAAACCTACGTAGCTCTCTCGTCTGCCAGGGAGGGTGAGACACTTTGTGGTGAGTTCTTTTCGGGACGTGTCTGTCAATGACATATGCCAAGACATGTGAAAAGGTTTGCGCTGCAGCCTCAACGTCATCTGGATCAAGGATGTTCTCCCATACCATGCTAGACAATACATCTATGATGCTACGGTGGTCAGCTTTACGGAAGTCATAAGAAACCGTAGCAGTATAGTCGCCGAAATCACGCACGAGTTTGTCCTCAACAGTGACAATTAGAGGAGGGTGATGTGGAACTAGCTTAGTTAGTGCACAAGGAGCCGAGGAAATTGATGGAGCCCTGTCCTGTGTGCTCACGAGGCAGAGGTCCAAACTACGACCATTTTCATTAACTACATGGTTAATTTGAGAAAGCGTCGCTGCGCTGTAGTTGTCGAGAAGGCTAATAGCTCCTGCGTGAAATGTAGAGCTATCAGGATCTGGATACAGGAATCCGCTATGAGATGGACTCCACGAAACGCCTGGCAGATTGAAGTCACCAAAAATGAATATCTCATCAACTGGAGTGGAACTTTCGACAACTGTGAAAACTGACCGACAGTGAGTATCGATGAGTTCATTGTCGCGGACTCGATCAGGTGGAATGTACAGAGCGAATAGAAATAGTGTGCGATCACCCAGATTGATGGCTGTCCAAACCTGCTCCACATTGTTCCATGAATCGTTCTCGATGGCCTTTGCCTTCAACCCGCTACGGACAGCTACAAGGACACCTCCACCAGTAGATTTACGGCTGTTGTTAGGATTCCGATCGCAACGAAAGACCTCGTAGTCAGGACCGAAGACTTGACTGGAAAGCGTTCGATAATCGAGCCACGTTTCGCACAGGACAATAATATCGTAGCAACGATCCGATACAGCTAGGCGGTACTCTTCAACATCAGAATTCATTCCACCGGCGTTTTGGTAGAAGATCACGACGTCCTGCTTGCGGCAAGGAATCGAATGACTGCTCTCCCTGGAAATCACAGATACATCAGGCAATAACTGACCATCATCAAGTCTCATTGGATACTCGCCATAGTGAGTGGGTTGGAAGACCCCCTCTCCGCATCCGACAGCAGGTCCGGAACGACTATGATGAACGAAGGCTGCTGATGGCAGGACTGAGACGGAGGGATTGGGGGCTTCCATGGGGCTTTCTACGGCGCGTTCCGGGTTTCCAGGATTAGGAGTTACAGAGGCATCATCACAATGACTAACATAGTTAGAATTGCTGAAAATTTGATCGGCATCAGGTTGTGAATAGTTAATATATTGATTGTACTTGCTTGTAGAGGCAAGGTGGAAGACTCCTGATTCATATCCATATCCATACAGCGATGTAAGACACTCCTCCAGGCTCGCGTTGATTTCTTCTTCCAGACTGACGGTGACAATGGACCCCTTCACTATTTATGTTTACTTGTTCTACGTCCCCGAAGTTGCTATAAATGTTATAATTTATCATCCCGCGAAACATACTTTTGCCTATAATTCTCCGAAAACACCAGCAATTTTTGTAATTTTTTGGGGGAAAGTGTGGCTCTAAACGACGTTCCGGATAAGTTTTATTATGAATTTTATTTTGCAAGGGCGTCGAAAACCCCAAAACGAACTTCTGCCGCACCTTACTCTAGTTTCTCTTACTGACTGCAGATCAAATTGCATTTCTCGGCCTGACCCTTCATGGATTTCGGATACATCGGAAGCCACTCATTCACTGATCATTCATTGTCATAAAAAAAGTTTATTTCAATCATTAAAATTTACACAATCTCATGAAATATTGTTTGTTTTCTACGTGTCCCAGTAACAGTTGGTTTTTCTTGTTCTTTCATTCATTCGATCGATTCGCATCGCTGACTTCTTCTAGGGCTATAACAAAAGTGTTTTTTTTTTAATAATATTTATATTAATGTCATATTCAATGGCTAATGTACGCGTGTCGTCTTGGATGTAATGCTGGTAGTTATTGTTGTTATGTCATAAGTCCTGTCCTTCGTTCGTCCGCGTGTGACTCTAACTGATTAACTTCTGTTGTTGTTGATGTTCCTGTTAGTAAGATTAGTATTTCTGATCTAACTACCTACTATTCGCTTGCCGGTTTAAATTTAGCGCCTAAATATGGTTCGAATTTCGATACATGCTTTCGCTTTTCACTAATTTATATATGTACCGAAAAGTTATGTCGAAATGTTTGATTGCTACCCATCGTTTTTTGTTTGTTTTGTTACTTAAATTTTGTTTTCCGAAACCCAGATACATGTCTAGAAAAATATCCACAAAAATCGTTAGTTGGAAGGAATGGAGTTAATCTATTCTAGGGTTGTTGTATCAATAACTTGAGGGGGACGATACGCGCTTTGTTTGTCTGGGTTTTTTTGCTTGTTTCAATAGAAAATTACTTAGCCACTATTCAACTCTATCTAGAGGGCGTTTTCTAGTTGTGTGAAGATTTAGAACTCAACTGTTCCTAACAGCTCTGTATCAAACGTTATACGTTTTGTCTTCTATTTATTTTCTTACACACAGTTGGTAGTACTGTTGTACAATGCAATATATAGCTCGATCGCTTGCTTTTCGTTTCATTCAATAATTTAATATAGTCATTATACCGAGCGTAAGTCTTTTATGCGATGCGCTTTACGTCTTTTTCTTTGTGTGGGGGAAATGGAAAGCCGAATTTTCACTGGACAATCGTTTCGTTTTGAATAAAGCTTAACAATAGAGAGAGAAAAAGAGAGAGGATGTGTAATGCTGTAAAGAACAAGTGATTGCACCGCATAATTTTCGGAATTTCCTTAGCCATTTCCACGAGCTCGTTGTTGCCTACTAATACTTGCGCGTTGCTTCTTCGCTTCACTTCGAACCCAGCGTTCCCGTGAGAGCAAAAGCCTTTGTAAATAAATACTTTGAGTTTCTAACGATCAATATGTTTATAATAATTATTGTAGCGTATTCTCGCGGTATTAGGTCAAATTTTGTTCTTCTTTTTTTTACGAAAGCTAAACTTCTTTATGCGTTATAGTTTATTCGATTAATCAGCAGACTCGTAACGTTTAAATATAATTTAAATATCATTCAAAGATTAATATTGCGCATTTCATTTTTTTGTTCAACTGCCATTCTTTAGTTGCTCTTTGTAAACCATTCGAAAAATAGAAATGTTGCGCATGTTTTGTTTTGTGCAAAAACAATAAATATTTAAATGTGCTATGACGGCTGGATTTGAAAAAACTTTCGCATGATCATTATGAAGCCAAAAACGGTGTATTAAAACTTAGATGGACGGAGATTTCTGTTTAGCAATTTTATAGTTAATAAAAAAGCGATTCCGAAGGGTAATGCTAACCGACGAAGGTGCTACAGTACAGTTCAAAGCATTCCGGGAGGTCGAATTTGAATGTGTGTAAGGGACAAACATTTCTGTGCTGTCAAATGAAAATTGAGCGCTGACATTCGTTTCCGCCAAATGCACTTGGAACGCACTGTGAGCCTACGCTTTACTTCCTTTCACCTTGGTGGCACTGGAGGTGGTTGGACGCATGAATCCACCCGTACGTGGCGTACTGCTCGTCCCACTTCGGGCGGTGCCCACTCTTGTCGTACTGCCGCTGGACACGGACCCTCCCGAGTTGGCAATACTGGTATTACTGGGTGTCTTGGATTGCAACCTGCTACGGACTGTATTTTGATTTTGGTTTTCTTTAAAGCTAGTACTCGGTCCCAGCGAGGATTTCAGTGGAGGTTTCCTGGCAGCTATGCCTGTCGTTCCACTTTGCCCTATACTGGACCCACTGGAGCTACTTCGGCTGGCGGGTGTTCCCGACAGAGGTGTTCTCACGCTGCCAGCACTTAGAGGCCTCTTAGTAGGTGAACTATGCGCTGACAGGGTCGTAGATACTGGGCCTGATCCGGCAAGCCCACTGGAAGTAGTAAGAGGCGATGACTTTGGACGTAATGGCACCTTTTTGACTGTGTTTGTCGAGACTGCACTGCTGAGCGATGAACGCGACGAACGAAGGCTGGTTCGCGAATTGCTTCTTTCTACATCTAACTGCTGCTGGTGTTTGACCGTGTTTATGCTAAGCAGTGGCAATTCGGGCCTTCGCATCGAATTCGTTCGGCGTGGTAACAGATTCTTGTTGACTAGAGACGGAGGGGTTCCTCTTAGGGACTTGCTGCGCTCCAAAGCGGATTGAGGCTTAGTTATCAGCAAACTTGGAAGGCTCGGAGGAGTCCTAATAGGTATTTTCCTTGGACTCCTATCCGCTCCACTTCCCGAAGGCTTCACAATTTTTTTGTTCTTCGAATCTGAACCATAATCGTTGCAAGACGAAGTACTGTCCTTCCCGTGAGATGGTGTATCGGAAACTAAGCTTTGCGTCTCTTCGAAGCCTTCATCGTTCAACTCATGGGTGATCACCTTAACACTACTAGGCGCCTCGCGAACTATCTCCTTTGGAGGACTCCAGCTCCTTTCGGGCGAAGGCGACTTCAGACTCCTGATAGCCTGCCGGACATCTTCCTGACTGATCCTACTCATATTGCGACCTGCTTTCAGCGTCCTCGGCTCGGAAGTCTTTCCTTTATCCTCCACCGCACTGGGGCTGTTCAATTTATCCTGCCAACGTTTCAGTCGGAGTTCCTTTTGCTTCTCGTTAGATTCAATTTCCGCCACGGCTGCCACCACAGGACGGGCAGTTTCCACCACCAGTGGATTGTCCGGAAGAGACTCCGGCGAGGTAGTTTCATTGCCACTACTCAGATCTACTGGCCGTTTAAATCGGCGCGTTCGACGAGCCGACGAGAATCGGTCAAACTGCCCATCGCCTAGTACCTCCGGTTCGGTCAAACCGCCAAGCGCTTTCTTCGCTTCCGATTCGTTGGTTTGGTCGGTTGGACCGTGCTGTTTTCGGCAGGAATTGTTACCACTGATATTCTGGTGCTCGCGATTGAAGCTCTTCCGGATGGATGGTGGCGTTTCGATGTTGTCGGAATCGATTTCGATCTTATTGTTCGTCTGTTCGTCGTAGATGTGGTGCGTGCGACGGGTTCTTCGTGGTGGTGGTGCTACGGAGTGAGCGCTTTCCGGTAACTGGTTATCACTGGTGCTGGTGCAGGATGAATTGATGGATGAAATCGTGGACGGAGTTTTGTCGTTCGGTCGGATGTATATCGATTGCTTTTCCGCTGCCGGGCTGGGTTTAGTTTTCGCATAGTCGCTGCCGTTCGTTTGCCGAATGTAGATAGATTGCTTGTTCTCTTCGCTTGCTGCACTCGTGGATGCCTTTGGTGAGGTGACTGTGCTTTCGGATTGGGGGGAGTTGTCGGAACCTCGTCGAATGTAGATCTGCAGTCGGTCGGACGGTGGTCGCTCACCCAGCGATTGGATCACAGATTTACGTTTGTCCTCTTCGAGTATCGATTGAAGGTTCGAACTTGGAGCGGTACTCTCTCTCGATCGTTGTCTTCGATAGCGTCGGGCATCCTGATCTTCTTGACTATTCAAACTAGATTTTCGCAATGCCGACTTGTCCTGAATGGACGGAACTGCGCCTGAAAGACCAAGAAAATAAAACAATACACGTATTTCTTCAAGAACCCATTTTACTGGATCATACCTGCAATAGCTTCCATAGTTCCCATGACGTCAGTCTTCTCAAGTGCACTGGATGGCTTCCAGTCGGAGTAGACGCGTTTATAGCTCGATGGCATCTGGTCGACCGTTACCTCCGGTGGAGATATCGTTGTTGGAGGCTTCTCCTCCGGCAGAGGATCCAACTTACTACCGCGATCACTCTCGTTGTCAGTCTCATACGATCGCCGATTAACTGCGAGCAGCTTCCGCTTCTTCTTGAAGTCCTCGTTCTGCTTTTCGTCTGCTTCATTCGCTTGCAGCCACGACTCGATCTTCTGTCGCCATTCCCTGGAAATTCTTTTGTGGTAAGCATTCCGAAAACAAAAGCATTAGCATGGAGCCTAATTCCCATTTTGAAGTAGAGACCACTCCCTTGGAGAGTTGTTAGTTTCGAAGTGTTTCACCCGAAATGTTGGTTTTGTTAGTCACTAACTTCAAAAGAGACAGAAGCTGCCATAGTTATGATTACAGGCAGACAAAAGAACACACACACACACATACAAAATCAAATCTGAAAGTATACCTCGGTTTGGTTTCTTCCACTGGCAGTGGCTTGCTTTCGGCCAATGGCGACGGTGAGCTCGGACGTTCCCGATCATTACCGAAGTCTACATTGAGCAGATCAGGGCGTTTCTTGCTGCCACTGCCGGACCGTGCCCGACGAGCCCAGGACCGATCCAGACTTCCTCCGTACGATACGGATTTCCTTTCGCGGCTGCCACTTTCATGGCCAGACGAACGGAGGAAGTCCATGAGATTACCTTCATCCTCTTCGGAGAGTACGCGACTACGCCGCCTACGGAGACTACCGTTTGGGGTGATGTCCGGCGATGCACAGTCCTCTCTCAGCAATACTGGATCCCCATTGCTCGTGAACGATCCTATCCGCCTTCGAGACATCGCTGGACTGTACCGCATGTCGTACTGTAATGGATCTAGCAGTAAACTGTTCTCGGAATCGGACACTGGAGTTCCCGGTTGATTAGCTGCAAGATAAATTAACTGATAAAACAACACATTCTTCGTATGTCTGAAATTCCTTTGGGACATACATTGTCGTCGTTTGATTGCCAACTGCTCTTCCCGTTGTTTTCGTCGGACTAGAGCTTGTTCTTCCTGCACACGACGCTTTTCGTTGTCTTTGACGGCCTGGTTGAACTTTTCGCAGAAGTTGTGGAATGTCTTGAAGCACTCTTCCATCTTGAAGGTTCCGATGTCCTCGCAGAAGTAATCGGCCAACTGAAGACGCATGGCTTCCAGCTCTTTCAGTCCTCGCTGTAGCATTATGATATCTCGTTCCGCTAGCTGTTGAGAAATAATCAATTTCAAATCCCATTCGCATATTGAGTAGCAACTTACCGTTATAAATTCTTCCATCTGGTACTTGATATCCTGTTCGGTCTTTGGCAGTTCGATCTGTCGTTTGATCTTTTTGATTCGGTTGTCGATGGCGTTTGTTTCGTTACTAATTTGCTCCACAGTCGTTCTGAAATTGGAGAAATAAAACTTATTCAGGCCCGAAAATCGCATTGCATTAATCCACCATACTTGGTAGCATTCTCCAGCGTCAACATCTGCCCAGGGAATACGAGCAGTTCGGGATTCTTCTTCTCCGCTTGCAGCGCCACGAAGTGTATCAGGTTCATGCCCGGTTTGTTCGCCCGGATGTCCGTCAGCTTCTGCAGCGAAGACAGTTTGACTCCGGCGGCGTTTCCAGCGTATCCACCCGAGTTGAGAAAGTTACCCGCCACCACAACCATATAGAGCACCTCCTGGAGGGCTTTGTTGTTCATCAGATCTGCGAAATGGGCAAAAACGTGAAATTTATTCATAACTTTCCCATGTACTTTTTACGATCATCAATTTCATTAATCTTGTTTTATCCATATAAACACATTATTCACATCATTAATAGTCGTTACTCTTCCTTAAATCTTAGGGCAAGAATATTGGCTAAACTTGTGTGAATTTGAGAAGTTTAGTCAAGCCTCAAGAGAATTTTTTCTCCAGAAAACTCTTGAAATTCGTTTTACAAGTATCTTCGAATTTCTAATAATGCTCAATTGCATTTCTCTTCATAAATCGCTTTGGTTGGAGCTTAGAAACCAATTGGTATAGAATTACATTTAAATTTTCCTCAGAATTGCATTAGAATTCTATTCAAAATTATCGTGGAATTCTCTTATAAATTCGCTTGAATCTTTCCGCGGAATTATCTTGAAGCTCTCTTAAAATACCCCTTAAAATTACTTTGAAACTATCCTCAGACTTCGATCGCCTTTCTTTTGAATTTCTTTAGAATTATCTTGTGTATTATTTAACATTATCTTCAGAATAAACTCTCATTTATTATCAGAAGTTCTCCTCATAAACCTCATAGTATTCTCTACAGAACTCTGAACTACATTGGAATGTTCCTTGAAGTTCCTCAAATAATTTCCATATATATCCAGTCAAAACTGTTTTGAAATTTTCTCCAGAATGCTGATTAGAATTATCTTAGGAATCAAAATTGTCAGAATCCATATAACTCCTTTAAGTCACAGAGCGTTGAAAAGTTTCCAAGATGCAGAATTATTTTTGACTTAAGATTACGTCTTTCGGCAACATATTGGGGTTGCACTTATTTGTACTTATTTACTTTTATTTGTAAACTAGTGTAATCATCGACCTTTAGCGCTCTCTGTTCTCGCCAGCGTCGTTTTCGAAGAAACTTTCTGGGGATGCAGGGCCACTTGGTGGACCTCGTGTGGATTGACCCCAAATTTTACAATTCTGCTTGTTCACATACCCGTTCATCCAGAAATGAGCCTCGTCGCTGAAGAAGATTTTTCGGACAAAATCGGAGTCTGTTTTCAACTGCTACAAAACCCAATCAGCGAACACACGGCGCTGTCTATGTCAATTGGATCTTGTATGGGTGCAGACCCAAGTCTCGACGCAGAATCCGCCAAGTTGAAGCCTACAAGAGGCCCAGTTCTTGTGCGCGGCACGGAATTGACTGCCACGGGTTCCCCTGCACACTTTCGCGTACAGTGGCGATATTCTCGGCAGACCTTGCGTTCCGTTCACGTACTGGTGGTGGTTGAGCGTTCACCGAACCAGTTTCTTCGAACATTGCGAATAGTCATCTCGGTAGGACGATTATTGCGACCGTAATTTTACGGCGCAGCGCTCGAAACGTTGGTTGCAAACAGTGTTGGCAAAATCAGAAATCAATTGATATTTTTCCGCTCTAATGTGCTCGCAATATCACGCGTGATATTGGAACAAAATATCATGCATGATATTGATTTTACAAGCTCCTTTGATATTGCGAGACTATTCACAACGTGCAAAAATCAAGCTAAGAGTTGACTCGACACAAAAATGATTCCGTTGCACATCGTTTACTTAGAAAGAGAAAGTATAGTATGCTATCTCTTTTTACTCTTCACCGATGGCAGACACGAAGCGACTGCTGCCAGCCGTAATGGAAGTTTCAGTTGCATTCGGGTGTAAAGCAAAAATTCAGTGCCAACATTTCAAAGGGGCGTAATTGCTTTTGTAAACAATGGCTTTAGCTGTCGATTTCTCGCAACTGAAAGCTCACCTCTTCAAATTAACAATTCTAGATAGTAGAGGAAACATTCCCCTACTTGGTGGTGTAAATAACTTTCATGAGTGAGCTTTTATTCATGAGAAATCGAAGGCTAAAGCCATTGTTTACAAATGCAATTACGCCCCTTTGAAATGTTGGCACTGAATTATGAAACTCAATCTCACCACAGTTTGCTGCGATTTGCAGCTGGTGAGTTTTGTTAGCTTGATATTCCGACCTGCGATATCACACAGCAAAAAAATAATTTTGATATCACATCAAAGTGGATGCACTACAATCATGTCGAAAATTTCATGTAATTTTTATGACCACATAAATAAACAAATGCAGTAAAAGCAGCGTAATGTCAGTTCATGCATTGTATTAATGATAATTTTGTCCTTTTTAGCAAGTAATATTACACCATATTTTCGACATGATTGTAGTGCATCCACTTTGACGTGATATCAAAATTATTTTTTTGCTGTGCACAGCTTGCAAAATCAACCGCAGTTGTTTGCTTGTTGATTTTTGTCCACAAAAATCAAGCGTGATCTTGGGCGTTGGTGAGATTTGATTTTTTGATATTTTTCCAACACTGCTTGCAAAGAACACTTACTTTAATAAAACAATTTTATCATTTGCACTTACTGTTGGACGCTTTAACTCTCCATCGTAATTTGACACTTGTAGTTTCAACAATATGGCCGCAATGCACTGTCAGTGTTAGGAAATCCCTATTGGAAAACCCTTTAGTTAACAGAGGTCACCTTGAATTCCACGGCCCTTATTTCCGATGTCACTTCACGGTGAATCGCCAACTTATCACTCATGGTGAAGTGATTCCCATTTGATTTACACGGCAATCATTTCACAGTGAGTGACAAGTGGTTACTTCACTTCGTTTTCACCGTGAAGTGACCCTCGTTGTAAGGCCGCACGTTTTCTTATTAAAATTATTGAATTCGATAAAACTTGTCAAACATTACGTTTGTTTTAATCTCGAAACGTCGAACAAAAACCTATATTCAAACAATAAAATAAAGTTGAATAGATTGAACGTATCCACACATTACGCTATGTTAGCAATACCAAAAATTAATTGGACCACTGAAATTTATTTTGCACTCGTAAAAAAAAAGTTACTTTAGTGACCATTTGACCATAATGAAGAACAGTCCTGTATTGATGATCCAACAAAATTATTGTTGGAAATATTAACGTAAACCATGGCTCACTTAATAATAGAACAAACTCTTTTGCTTATTACAGCGCTCCTTAGTGGACGTTTTTGGAAGCTTTTGACGTATATTTGTTGACAATAACAATAACAGTGTATTTTAAAACGCTCTTGTTTTGGAGACAGTCACCGTGCAAGAGGAGCGTAGAAGAAAAAAATCGTGCACAGTAACCTGGAACATCCATCGTGATCCGCGTCCAAGCTGGCTAAAGTGTTGAATTTTCCTAGAAACACCGTATGGCGCGTGCTCAAAACGTACAGGGTATCCTTGACGACGAATCGGAAGCCTCAAAGTAAAGGCCTGAGTGGAACTGCCAACCGTTAGCTTCATGGAAAGGTCGTGAGGTCCATCAGAATCAACCCAGGTATGTCCGATCAGGATTTAAGTAGAAAGTATGATGCCGCCCGTAGTACAGTGCAGCGAATTCGGTACAGCGAAGGCTGACAGGCAGCCAGTAGGCAACCAAATCGATCACTCAAGCAGAATACCGTAGCTAGAACCCATGCTCGAAAGCTGGATGACAACCTGCTGACTAAGTCCGGTGGGTGCATAATTATGGATGATGAAATCTATGTAAAGTCCGACTTCAGACAGCTTCCAGGACCAAATTTTTACAAAGCGAAGGCTCGAGGAGGTGTCCCTAGAAGATTAAAATTTATTTTTGCGGATAAATTCACACGCAAATTAATCCGCAAAAATTATGATCTGGCAGAGAATTTGCAGCTGCGGCCAGAAAACAAAAGGTTTCGTCACTGAGAAAATGAACTCGTAAGTTTACAAAACCGAATGTCTCCAGAAGCAAATTCTGCCCTTCATTCAGTCACATTTTGGTCCGGTCCTTGCGAGTTGTCACTACAGCCTGGAAGTACAACAGTACAGTTTGTTCCGAAAAGCCTCAATCCACCCAAGTGTCCCTAGTATGAAAACTACTGGGTAATTATGAAGAAGAAACTGAAGGCAGCTCAGATGATAAATTGGTGGGATAAAATCGCCAAAACAATGGACGAGACCGTTGTGCGCCGTTTGATGGGTCGTATTAAGGGAAAAGCTCGAGAATTCCTTCGAAACCGTGACGAATAATTCGTTTCGCATTTGTTTCTTCAAATATGAGGAATAGTATGCACTTGAGTGAAAACCGTTTTCAAATCCGTTAATTCAAATCCGAAATAGACCCAAATGACGTTGTTCCATTACTAAGTGGGCCATGCTTTATAAATACTGTCGAAACGTGGGGTGCAATAAAGAGCAGGGGAAAATAAGGGGAAATATTGAAACCCGAAATAGAGCTTTTTAAGCAAGCACTATATTCAATATTTTGCAATATTTTCCCTCATGTTCTCCTTCTATTTGAACACAGCAGCAAATGGGACCTGTGCCTAGGCAACTCTTGTCAAGGTGGTTGTGAGTTGACTCGGAATATTCCATCGGATACAACAATGTTAAAGTGAGGAGCGACCCTGTATTGATGACCCCCCAAAAATATTGTTGAAAAATTTTTAATGGAAATATTGACGAAACTTCTGTCATGTGGGGTGCACTTGGACGAAATACTTCATTTGATACTCAGCAGTTCCGGACTTACCTTCTCCTGCGTATAGCATTGCACTGATATTTGGCTCCAGGTAAATCAGGTTCGCTTTGAATTCTTCCTTCAGCAGCATGCTTTCGATTCGTAACTTGTAGCTGAAATTAAAAAAAAGTCGTCAATTTATCTAAACATTCCCACAACGTAGAACAATTGAACTCATACTTAGGCACTTGTATCAGTTGCAGTAGAAACTTTTCGGCGTTCCCTAGTCTATTATTGTCACCGTCGAACAATTTAAGCATCTCCAGCTCGTCGACCTCGGGTAAAATCTTCAGAAGTCCCCGCAGCTTTTCGGAGCCGATGTCCTCGTGTTCGCCATTCCGTATCAGTTGGATGATGTCATCGTTGGAAGTGCGGAATTGCTTCAGGAAGATGTTGACGTTGAGGCTGCGTTTGCCATCGAGGAGAGTGATTTCGTTTTCTTTGCGTGATTTACGTTCCAGTGTATCGCATCCACTGTTTTCGCGGCCCAGTTTAGGCGAGCCCTGGGTTTGCTGCAGACAGAACAGGCCTTCCATTTCGTCCCAGTTCAGATCGGTCATGGGGCTGTCCTGGTGGGAATCGGCCACGATGGACCATATGTTAGGCTTTCCGATCACCTTCTGTGAAGGGATCTTGTTCCAGTTGATGGTTTTCATCTTGGATCGCGGAACTGGGGTTTCCTGCTGCGGTAGTGGTTTTATGACTTCGATCTGCGTTTCAGGAGTTTTTGGTCGTGTGAGTTCATTGGCTTTCACGGAGAGTAGATTGGGAGCGGGAGGAGCTGGTGGTGCGGGAGGTACTGGTGGACCACCTCGTGCACCTGGACCGCCTGCCATTGGTGGAGGAGGTGGTGGAGGTGCGCAGGGAGGTGGCGGAGGCGGAGGAGGTGCCAAGTTTGGTGGTGGTGGAGGTGGAGGTGGCGCCGGAGCTCCTGCGATGGACGGAGGGGTGGGAATGTGATTTGAGCTCGTGCTGTTTGGTCCCGGCGTTTGGGGGCCAACCGATTGCCTTCGGGTTGGACTAGTGATATCGCTCCGACAGTGGGGGCAAGCAAATTTTTGTATGCTGGGTGAACGCAATAAGCGTGCGGAGGCTTCCTGATTTTCTAGCAGGGTGGCGCGGTGCACTAGCGTTTCGGCGGTGTCCCAGATGATGTCGCTGATCGGTTCCTTCGGATCGATCTGTAGCAGGTGCTGCAGTATGTTGAGGAATGGTATCTCCTGCGGGGTGCCGGCGACCTGTGAGGGGAATACAATATCAAACAATGTATTACTGAACACGAAATTGGGCATTCCCAAAGCTAATTTGCAAAGTCATCAAATGAACTGCTTTAACACATGTCGGTATCGCAAGTTTAAAATTCTATTACGTACACACGCGGAGAATATCGATCAGAGAGAACAGCAGTAGCAGCAGCGGCAGCAGCAGCAGCAGCTCAGCTGACATCGCAAAATAAATGTCATAAAAATTCTGCCTGCATCGTCGTCACTGTTCTGTGTCTTCTCTCGGCAGTGATTTCTCGGTGCAAAATTTCGAAAACGAGCGGTGGTGGTGCACTCATTTATCATTCCAAACAGCACTTCGCACTTTGATTGTAATTCTCCATTGTAACACAAAGAAAAAAGCTTTTCATTAACCCCCTCCCCCTTCGGTTCGCAATTGTAGCACTAGGTAGTCCTACTGACTTTTAATGATTATTGTTTGCCACATTCGGTAAAAGATCAAAGACCGCCTGCTCCCATGGAAGGAGTAGTTTCCTTCCTATGCACTCACCTGTCGCAGTATCGCGTAGAAGACATCAAGATGCGAGTTTAAATTTATTCCGTCGGGCCCTTGCAGGCTCTGTGACTCGTCGCATTCTCGCTGCTCGTCAAACACGTCGATTTGTACTCCGATATCCGGCACGTTACTGGCGATGCGCCTGCAAATGTCGATTGAGAAGAGATGGAAAAAGGGTTATGGAAACGGTCCATCGTCATCGACGAATCGTCACGTGGTGAGAATATGAGGCGTTTCACTAATTGAGCTCGCGTTTCATCTATTGGTTTTTTTTGCTTTTTGAATGTGCTATTTTTTGGATGGCAGAGTGGATGGCAGCTAGTGTGTTAGAGTAATACGGTTATTTTACCACAAATCACGCAAACTTCGCTCTCAACTGATGGAAAACCGAACACCGAGAACGGAGAGCTTTTTCCTACACAGTTCCCTCAGCTCTTGTACGATATTCATAGTTTTCCACTCTCTTTCTCTTTCTCTTGATGGTTGTTTCTTTTTCTATTTTGGTATGTCGCTGCTCGCCGTTCGATTCTGCCTTCCGATGTTTTCTTTTTAGTTTGCCGATACCACCCCTTGACCCAGTGGTAGAGTGGTATTGAAAGGGGCGCAACTAAGGCTCAGCAAAGAAACATTGCCACCCCAAAATCGCACCGCCAAACGAGACGACGGATTTCACCAGCAAATGTGCCAAATGGGGGACGGAAAAGCTCTGCACAAAAGCCTGGAAGCTATATAGGTATGCAATCGAAATGTCACTCTTGAATAAAGATTGCAATAAATATTCATGGACTGTTGGATTAGCAAAGGCGTCGAACTATGAGGGCAAAATCCACCAGGAGAAGGCTTTAGCTGATGATAGGTATAGTCACACTCACACTCGGCACTCGACTTCATATATTGAACCACCAGCCAAGTGGTGACGGCGATGTTTGCAGAGAAGGATTACAATATTTTCCAACCATTCTCCCGCACTAATCCATCCGTATCTGGAAAGCCATCCAGCTAGAAACCGAGCACTTTTAATCCTAGAGCCCTCGAAACGAAGCTATTTCCGACTCACTTTTGTAACTCAAAAAAAGGAAAAGAAAAGCGAAAGTGGTATAGCCCCTATAATATATAGATTTTCCGATCCTGTCTGCTGGCTGACGGCTTGTCTACTGTGGTTTTATAGTTTCTTCCTTCATTTTCTCTGTGTGTTTGTGATTGGGGGAAAGCTCACTAAGGTTGGTGTACAATAAACTAGTTTGATTTTTTCCTTACGGATGGATTCATTGCGTTCTCAGTTCTCCGCGGGACGGTCGTAAAAACTATACTGAAACGGTGCACGATTTCGCCAATGTGTTTTCCCGTACCATACACTCGGAGATGGAGAGTTCCATAAAAGCAGCAGAGAGTGGCTCTACTCTCCGGTTTGGAAGCATCATAACTGTTTAATTGATATGTGGATAGCTTCTTGGGGGCAAACGATGGAAATCGAAAACATTCGGCGTTTGTTTCATATACTATCAAATGAAGACCATGTGTCTCCTTTGCGGCAATCGTTAATAGTTTGATGGAGACGCAATGTGCCTTTTTGTTCTTTATTTCTTATTCTTCAATTTTAAGTTAGTCTCACGAACTGAGTCGAACATCATGATATGTTTTGATTAAGAAGGATTTTTTTTTTAAATTAACTGAAATTCGAGTTTTTAAGGTCTTATAATTCTAAATTGAATATCCGTTGTAAACAATCGATGGTCACTATGCCGAACGCTATTGAGTTGAATTGGTCATTATGCCAAATTATGGTAACATGAACTAGAATTTAGAAATTGTTTAAGGAAACTTCAATAAATTGAGATGCAGCAATTTTTTTATTACGGATTTAGCAAAATCTTTTTGATCCTGCAGAGATTGTAAGTGTACTTTTTGAAGTACATGCCCCCTTACATTTCCATGACATTTATAAAAGACAGTTGACACCGTCTTCAATCCAAGGTTGCACAGACTGAACACTTAACACTACTCAGATAAAAATACTTTGTAAATTTCAATTACCAACTGGAGCAGGTTTTTAAATAAAAAAATTATACGAAATTTAGTTAATTAATGTTGAAATTTACACGTTCATGTAAATTTATATCGTTGTTCGTTGAAATTTAAATCAATTTCAATTTGAACTTTGACTGAGGGCAGAAAACACATTAATGTGCCAAATGTAAATTTACAAGTTTTTCCTGTGTAGACAACGGACAAAACACAGCACCCCTTAGACAAGAGGGAAGTTTTCTTTTCTACGAATGTTTCCACCAACTAGAGCGAGAATCAAAATGGCACGTCGTGGCACATACAATACTCCTGAACGACGGATGACGTCACTAACCGCACGACCTGATTTTTTTTAAAGATTCTGGGGCTCTAATTTAGTTATTCATATTTTGGGACATGACATTTATTTGAGGCTTTGACTTAAAAAAAAAAAACAAAGCTTAGAATGTTATAAAAAAATTGAGACAAAGAACAACACTTACAAAACGCTACGCGGGAGTCGGACATTGTCGCGTAGATGGGCAGGATCGCGCCCGAAACCGGTCGACAGAAGGGTAATTTCTAAACTGGTTTAATGTTGTGAGAACGATAAGTGTAGTTCTTACGTTAGTACAAAAAAAAAACACAGAAAAAAGTGACTAAGAACAATATTCAAGAGGATTTGGAAATGTTACTACCATCCCAGATTAATACTATGACATTTCCTAGGCCTTTGACCTTTGAAAAGTTGTTAGGATTCTAGCACTTTGACGAATTTGATATTTTCGAATGAGGTTTTGTATAAGAAATGAAAATTTACAGGAAATTCGATGTATAATTCCAAGGGAACTCTGAGTCGATTTCTATGAAAAGAACTCCTGGTGATTACTAAGGAGAATTTCAAGTTAATTCTGAGTGCAATGCAAAGAAAATTCTGAGAAAATGTTATGGGGATTGTGAGCAAAATTCCAGATTAGTGTTTCTATTTTACGGTCATTTTGGAAATAGCTTGTGATTGTTCTTGGGAATTCCCGGGAATCGGCCATAATATGATTTTTTTTAAATTTATTTACTAAATTATTTACTGATTCACTTTTGTGCATTTCTAATGCTTTTGTATTTTATATGGACTGTTGCAATTTGAAACTAGAACAGAAACTCACCCCTCGCAATACTGAGTTGCAGTTTCATTATTCGAGCACTATTTTGGAGCAGAATTTCCACTGCTCGACTATTGGGTTCTATTTTTGAGCGGGGTTGTATTTATTGATGTTCCTTGTATATGTTCATAGAACTTCATAAAAATTGAGAAGATTCAATTTTATTTTTGAGCGAGGTTGAAACACGAATGGAACTCTGTTTCAAATTTTTTAGGATGTATTTATTGGTGTTCCTCGTATATGTTCATAAAACTTCATAGAAATTGAGAAGATTCAATAGAAATTTGAGAATTTTACAGGAATGTTGGGAATTTCTGAGAAGTTTGAGAATATTATATAAATTTCGGAGAACTTGATTTAAATAACGAAGAGCTTTGCAAAACCATCGCAGAAATTTATAGAAAACAGTAAACTGTATGTCAATTGTATATTTTTTAATATTCAGGGAGTATCATTGAAGTTTACGTAATTTCAAAGAAGTGAGAGATATTTCATAAAAGATTGGGGAACATCATAGTAGTTCTAAGAATTTGATAGATAGAAATGCTATAATATAAATTTCAGAAGTCTTTTAATATTTTTTCAAGGCTTCATTCTGAAAATATACACCTATCCAAAAAAAATTTAATCACATCTCTCAGATATCCTCTTATATGATATCAGCTTCGAGTAGACCCCTTACAGAACATAGTGAAACGCGTGGAGAAAGCACTGAAGGAGTGCAAATCGATATTAGGAGATGGAGCAGGTCGTTTACGGGAACCCAATCCCATTCTACCCAGGATCAAAGGTCTCCCCAAAGTCCACAAACCAGGAAATGAAATGCGAGAGATCGTGTCTGCAGTTGGTTCCCCCACCCACAAACTAGCGAAGTGGCTAGTCAAAGAGTTCCAGAGTATGCCGAATCAGTTCCAGAGTAAAGCAGTTAGTAACACCCAGGAGTTCGCACAGCAACTACAATCTTCAGGAGACATCAACGAGGACGAGATTATGGTATCTTTCGACGCGTACCGGTCAAGGAAGCGATCAACCATTTGGAGGACTGGCTATTAACACAACGAGAGAATGCAGCATGGATAAACAAGGTTCGGACGTACCCTAAGCTGACCCGCCTTTGTATGGAAGAGAACTACTTCTCTTTCCGAGGTAACTTCTACAAGCAGACGAAAGGAGCCCCAATGGGAAACCCCCTATCCCCCTTCTTGTGTGAACTTTTCATGGCCAACTTGGAGACAACCCTGAAGGAGAAAGGACTATTACCAAACCGTTGGTGGAGGTTTGTTGTTAAACGGGAAGCCCTTCCACAAATTTTAGATGAGATCAAAAGAATTCACAAGGATATCAAATTCACTCACGAGGTAGAAAAAGACGAGTTTCCAGATCTTCTAGTCATCAGAGAATCGTCATCATCTTCCTCGCTTGAATACGAAATTTACAGGAAACCAACAAGCACCAAAAGAGTTATCCCCTATACTTTGCAGACTCTTCCACTCAGCGATACAGGAAAGGTTAAGGAATTACAGTACATCTACGAAACAGCAAGACTCAACGGATACAAGGAGACCACAATCCAGGCAATCATCGATAAAAAAGCGGGAATTCTACAAAGGAGATTATTTACAACCCTCACCGCAGCACCTGAACCATTGAAACGAGTGTCCGTTCCATTTGATCAAGATATTACTTGTAAGCTAAGACCACAGTTAAAACAATTCGGATTAGATTTAGATTTCACCAGTAGACATAACCAGTTGAAATCATTGTTAGGATCCACTAAAGACCCAGTTAATGTTTTAGGTAAAGCAGGTGTATATAAAATAAGCTGTAATCATTGTAACAAAGTATATGTAGGACAAACCAAGAGAACTTTAGCAACTAGATTTAAAGAACATATAGCGGAGGTTAATAAGGCCAAAAAGCAAGAGGAAAAAGGCCTAACATATGATTTCAAATAAAAGGTTGCAGAACACATCTTCAC